TTGGCACATGTTAGAAAATAATAGTGTTCATGATCATTTGGAAGTAGAATACCTTTTTTATTTCAACCAAGGATAAACATTTATATAGCAGTTAATATGTTGTGTTGCATTCTGAGTACTTGTTTTGCCCATTTTACATTAAAAGAAGCTGAGACACAGTTAACTTGCCCAAGGTTGCAAGTGCAAAGTGTTAGGCAAAGATTCAAACCTAAGCAGTCTGGCTCCATAATCAGGCCTTAATCTGTAGTGTTATAATGCTCCATATTTGGAACATTTTTTAAAATATGTTTTTATTGATTTTAGAAAGAGGAAGAGAGAGAGAGAAATACCAATGAGAGAGAAACATCGATCGGCTGCCAGGGATTGAGCCTGCAACCCAGGCATGTGCCCTGACCACGAATCAAATCAGCAACCTGCCCAGCCGGGCGTGGCTCAGCGGTTGAGTGTCGACCTAGGATCCAGGCGATTGGGGTTCGATTCCTGGTCGGGGCACATGCCCGGGTTGTGGGCTCGATCAATGACTCATCATTGATGTTTCTATCTCTCTCCCTCTCCTTTCCTCTCTCTGAAATCAATAAAGATATATTTAAAAAAAAAAAAAAATCAGCAACCTCTTGGTGCATAGGTCAACACTTAACCACTGAGCCATACCAACAGGGCTTAATTGGAACATAAGTTACTTTGTGTATAGTTGGAGCACATTTAGGTTATTCTGTTTCTTCTTGGATATTTACTTGGATGTGGCAAGCAACTCAAATATCCTGAAGAGAAATCCTAGTTGCCTTCAATATTCTGTGATCGCTGTAGCAAAAGTATCAGTTTATTTGAAATGGAAACCTTGACACTTCTCATAGTATTCTCTTCCGCACTAATAGACTCAAGGACGAGAACCTATTCATTTTTATAATTCAGTGAATGGTTAAGTAAACCCAGTGTTAGTGGCGTTCAGTTTTCTCCAGTGAAGTGTGATGATAATAGGTCTGCTTTGGAATCCAGCAAACCTGGTTTTGAATCTCGGTGAATGCCTAACATAACTCAAGTGGTATTAACTGCCCTTAAAGGTTCACATCTAGTGATAGAAAATTGTGTTTAAACATGCTTTATATTGGTCAACAATTCACTGTCACACAAAGCAACTAGGAAAACATGAATTGCTTCATATTTTCTAATCTTAGTTGATGGCACCACTGCACCCAGTTGAAGTCACTAACTCTTAATGTGTCTCTCACTTTGCATATTTAAAATTGCATTTCCTAAATATCTTTCTAGCCATTTTTAAGGCAAAATAAGGTAAGGAGTATAGGAGGACAGCAGAGGGGAAAGAGTTGGTGCTAACAGGGCTCTCATTTCTGCCCTCTTTTTTCACTGATTTTTTTCCTGGTTTCTTGTGTCTTTGACCCTTTCCACTTGCTGCTTCCTTGACTAGCCTATAGACCTCTGAAAACCAGCAAATAAAACAAGCCGCTTCTCCTGTGCCTTCTCTTATAGCTTAATTTCCTAGTCCCACTGCAAATATGGCTTCTGCTTCCACCACTCCAGTGAAACTACTAAAAGTTAACAAAACACTTGATAATTAAATTTAGATACTATTTAATTTGACTTTATCTCCCTAAATATTTGACAGAATCAACTTTTTTTTCTCTCTTCCAGAGGCTTCTGCCATTATACTTTTTCCCAGTTCTTAATCATACCTGACTTCCCCCTCATTCTGGCTCCTTGATGTTCCAAGGAGTTTGTTCTGGGTAGCGTTGTAAGCCAGTGGTTCACAAAGTATGGGTCTCCAGCTGGCTGCATCAACATCTGGAAACTTGTTAAAAATGCAGACCTACCAGAGAACAACTTATCAAATTCTGGGGGTGGGGCCCAGCACTCTTAAGTTTTAGGTGATTAAGGTGCATGTTCAACTTTGAGAACTACTGATTCTGTCAGTCATCCCTAATATACTTGACACCAGAGTTCAGAGCTCACTTTTTCTGAAGCTCTAGATCTGATATTTACAACTTGGGCAGCTCCATCTGGATGTCCTTCAAATATACAGATTAATTTGGAAGGTTTTATTAGATGAATTAAGTTGAAACCCCTGAGCCTAGAGGAATGTATGTGTGCTGATAAGATTATGTACATGCCTCGAAATTCAGGTCCTTTTAAATAATAAGCATGACAGATTGCAAATTTGTAAATTAATCCTTTACAGTTCCCTTTTCTTAACATATTGAAAGTAAGTATTCTAACTCAAACTTTTCACCCTGTTCTTCCTAAGAGTCAAGATCGGAAGTGAGGTTGCATGGTTACTTGAACTTTTAATTCTGATTTAGCCAGGTATCTTAAGGCTCCTGCTTTTATTCAGTTGAACCCAGCCCCAAGGATTGAATAAAATATAAAATATAGCACACTCTTTGAAGTCCTCTGAAAGTTGTGGCAAAAAAACCCACTCAGTTTCCTGTCTTTCCTATATTCCCACTAGTGTACATTAGCATTTTCTCTACTGGGATGGAAAAAATGCTAACGTAAAAAATTGCTAAAAATTAGCAATAAGAATTGCTAAGATATAAACAAGATAGGTTTGTCAATTTTTTATTTTTATTTTTTGAGAACGAGAATTTAAAACTGAATTTGACTTAATTGAAATATGTGTGTTTACAGCATTCATTCCAGCCCCACAAAGGGGAAAAAAAATGTGTTGATGCAAAACATCAAAATAACAGTGAGGCAGCTGTTGCTGCTGAGGTGGGAAGTATGTCAAAGAATGGATAAGCTGTCAGCCAAGGCTCTGTGCTGTGAGGCTCTTCAGACAGTGAAGGTGCGGGACAAGGAGCAATTGGCAGCCCTCACAAAGCCCCTGGGGGAAAAGGCAGAGCCAAATGCTTTCATACACCTAGCAGGAGTAGAATTCATGGAAATCGTTTGGATCGGAAAGAAATAGCTAGGGGTACTCCACTGTCTACCAAATGAGGTGACGTCTTAGCTGAAGTGAAGATGTGATTGGATTTTTTTGCTCCTGAGAAAGAAAGTTCCACCTGCTTTGTCATTCTATTTACATGACCAGAGTACTCTCCCTGCTGTCCACACTAGTGGACAGCACCAAGATTTGGAATCGGGTTGGACTGTCCACTACTGAATGGCTCTGACTGGATAAGTTCCTAAACTTGTCTGAACCTCAATTTAGAAGATATTTTACCAATTTCATAGGGCTAATTAAGATTAAGGAAGAATTAAGATGATTTAGAATTTTTTTGTTAATTCTACAGTGATTTATGAATGATCAACTTTATGGGGATGTCTGTGAAGGCAGGCGGGAGTATCTTATGTACTTTATTGTCCTCTCAGTAAATGTTTCATAATAGAACTTAGCTGTTCTTTGTGTTCTGTACCCACACTTAATAGCCTTACAGAGTAGATTTTCAGTTATTTTGACTGTTGAAATAAAGTAGTAAGTTGGTAGGAGACAGAAGCATTAATTCCTATTCTGGGGAAAGTACTGAAAGTCAGCGTCTGAGTCTCCAGTAAGCACAGTAGTATTTATTCAAGGATTTAGGCTATACAGGAAAGGTAACTCATACTGAGCAAAGGCTGGTGGTGGGAGGAACTTGTTTTTCATTCTCACCTGAGGATATATTGAGAGAAAGAGAAACACTGATGTGAGAGAGAAACATCAGTTGTCTCTGGTATGCACCACGACCTGAGATCAAACCTGCAACCTAGGTATGTGCCTTGATGGAACGGAATCTGCAATGTGTGTGTGTGCGCGCGGGATGATGCTCCAACCAACTGAGCAACCGGGCCAGGGCTGGGAAGGATGTTCTTGAACTAGTGGAGTACAGCCCCTTGGCAAAGTTTTGCCTGAGGGCTACACATTAAGCTTATTTAGCTGGTAAAGGGTTAATAACTCTAAGCCTGGTGATATTTGCATATTCTAATTCCTGTCCTTCATTCTTTTTCTAAACACCCCCGGATTTGTGTATCCATATCTGCCTACACACTTCTATTATCTTTCTAAAGCCACTTCAGCTAGTTGCACCACAGTTTTACGTAACTGGATACAGAAATCCAGATGAAAAAAACACCAGCAGCAACAATTTACGCAAGGCTATATAATTCCACAGTTTAGTAATATGTTATCTGCAGTAAAAGGTCATGGACTCTCTTGTGTATCTGTAAATGCAAAGAGCTTTCCAAGGAGAATGGGATAACATGTTGATCTCACTGAGCAAAGATGCTATGTAAATGCAAAATGGGACGTAATTGCCACAGGGCAGAGAACAGTCTTAGACATCTTCCTTATTGGGTGACCTTAAACGTAAGTGATCTTATACCTGACTGGGAATGTAAGGTGGAGTGAGGTGAAGAGGTGAGCCCGAGATTCAGCCAAGAAAGGGCTTTTCCCTTGAAAGTTCTGCATTTAGACCCCAGGAAAGTGAAGCGTTTGTGGCAGATCCCATTGACAGCTGCTGTTCAAGGTAGTCACAGCAATTCCAGTCTTCTTTGCTAGATACTTACATAAACTCCCAGCATCTCAGTCCTGGCCAGTGAGATATAAGAGAAAGTCTGCTCGGTTCTGAGAATTATTTTTACAGTAAGACAAAGGAAGAGAAGCCCCCCCC